ACGTATCAGACTAATAGGCTGCGAATTTTTATAAAAATTTACAGTTTTTATGAACATAGGCAAAAGCTATTATAACTTGAATGTTATAATTATTCTTGTACTGATATGAAATAAATTTCAATTGCAGTTAAATTTTCTAATTATTACTACTATCTAGTTAATAGTTTTCAATTGTTCGTATATGTCCATTCTTCCATAAATAACTGCAATCCTGCAAAAGTACAAAGTATACAGAAAATATAGTTCATCACAATTAAATGGATATCTATACAATTTATATTAATATTTTTATGAATGTAATTAAAATTATCTACATTCTACACAATGGATGTTTTACTTTGAATATTTCATATATTTTTGATGACGAATTAATTATCTTTGAAAATTTCCCAAAAATACATAAAGCATCCGCCATAAAAATGTTTCAATTTTTCCAAATTTAATGGAACAATAGAATGTAGATAGAAGAAGAAATATCTATCAGAAAAGACATTTTCAATATAAAAAAAAAAAATTGTAAACGTTACATTAACATTGATCCTTAATAAGTTAAATCACGAACATTAAATAATTATGTATGTATAAATGAATTCGAAGAGTTTTAATTCGGTTCAACGTGAACACAGCACATGATAAGGCTTCGATGGAATTTTTTACTAATCTATCAAGTAAAACATACAGTACAGATGTTTTGCAATGCATTGCTGTAGTTTTCTTATTTTTTTTTTTTTATTATTATGTTTGGCCATGCGTAACCATAAGTGTGATTTCGCTCTCGACATATGTTTCTCTCTCTGATAGTACGTTTCGCTCGCTAGAAATAATAAAAAGTATGTCTTAGTGATAACAATAATTTTCATTTATAAAATATAACGCTACCCTAGGTATGTACATATCTGGCGTTCATCAGTGTGTTCGGATTGACGAAGAAGCCTCTCAGAAGACAAATTAATTAATCTCACTGTTTATAAAGTTACCAATTTCATAATGTGTTTCACATAAACAATTCGTATTCGTACATCTTAGAAGTAAAATCTTGTTTTAACGAGAGAGAAAGCATAAAATAATTGTAAATAATTTTAATTAGTTTACACTTATTTAATTTATTATTAATTGATTTAAAATGATAATTCTATAAATTTAGAATTAAAAAGAAGATGAATGTCCCTAACAGAAAAACCAATCTCTCACTTTAATAAATTTATCATGTATGTATTATATCACAAGGAAATAACATAAATAATTCTATATAATTTTAAACTTCACTAAAAATTAAAATTAATTAAATTAAATTAAATCAACGACTTCTGACGGACTGAAATAAAGATCGCAATTACCATTGATCGGGCGGCGCTCATCTTTTTCTTTTGTTTTCCCAATTATCGAGGGACCGAACAATCGATGATAATTTCTAAATTGATTCGACATTTGAGTGTTAAAACTTCCACAGCTGCACCGTTCATAGGCCTAAGTGATAAGCTTCACTTAAGAAATTTTATTCCAATATTTTTTAAATATTTTCTTTTCTTTTCATGTTAGTATAAATTTAATTATAAATAAGTATAATTTTAATAATAAATACTATAAAAACAAAAGTTCATGGAATAATATTGTTTTTTGCAAAACCAGTATTTTACGAATTTTACGTGTCGTAAGATAAAAACTGGACCGCAATAACAATCCTAATCTAAATTAAAAATTTAAAAAGAATTTTAGAAAGAGATTATCATATCATTCGTTTATTAATTTAAAATATTATTTCGCCTATCGATCATTATTTCATTGTATCATTTTACTTCACTAATATCTTATTGTTTTATCAATTCTCCTACTTCTCGTTTTGCGGAATTAATCGACTTGGCAAATGAACGGCTCGCGTAACTTCATAAAAAAAAACAAAAAAACAAAATGCTTTAAAATACAATTGAACCGAAATGAAAAATTAAAATACGTCGAAGAAAAATAACAGGGAAATAAAATAAAATGAACCATCTATGGAAAAGAAAGAAATGAAATCGATTAAAGATAGCTGTTGGAACGAAGCCATTGGAACTGGATTTTTGAAACGATTTGCGTCGTCGAACGCTTGCAAAAGCCATTCCATTCAATTCGTTTTCATTCTTGTTCACAAGTTTTGGCACCGTCGACTTTAACTCGTCCCCCATTTTCAGCAACAAGAGAATGCGTTTCGCCTTCGAAGTAATTAATCACGGACCATCGTGTCCCGATAAAAGTTTATCACAATAATAAAGTTCTTAGTGCTCGTTCTACAAGAGTTGTCTCGCGATTGTAGATTCCAAAAATACAATCTTCGTTACTCATCAGCCTATCTCTGCGCGAAACTCTTCCGAAAAAGGTACACTAATGAATTGCACGTATTTACTCGTTCAATTATCCGTCGTATGAAAATTAATTACACGTGGACAATTTTCCTTCTCTTTCTCGTTTTTTAAACCTAATCAAGCGACTCCAGCGACTTTTCCCGGGGAAAATATGTTATTAGAATTCACAGCGTGTACACACCTCGTTCTTCTGTTCGTTCTCATCAGCAAGGTCCTGTTGAAAAAAAATTTTTTAGTTTTTCTTTAATCGGTTGCCAAAAAATCTTGCAAGTTGAAAATTCTTGGGAAGAATTTGACGAATTTATTGTGATGTTAAACGATCATTGAAAGATGATGTAATAAAAGACAAGACAAAACTTCTAGAGGTTCTTTGTAAATTTAGAGATTCGTTGCAGGCTTTTCGAAAAATTTGGAGACCTTTTCGCAGGCTTCTGAAAATTCAGAGATCCCCTTTCCAAGGATTTTTTTGAAGATTTGTGTGTGACTTTTCTACAGAACCCGCTTTTTACTTTTGCCGCCTCTGGTCAAATAGGATCTCTCGATCAGGCAAACTATTGCTAAAACTCTCTTAAACTGTTATTCAACGATTCATCTATGCTACAATGTATATACAGCATGGCAGTGATTACACACTCTATATTTCCTTGCCGTACAATACACGTGCTACAAAAAATTTTGTAACGTTAAAAACTGCTTAATTCTTCATCGACCAGTGAATTTGATTCGTGTGATTCAGGCGAAATATTATCAGGCGTGGATATCAACGTTCGAACTGCAGAGCATTAACATACAATAAATCAGAAAAATAGTTGCATCTTTCTACTGCTGTCGGGTGGAAAAAAAAAAAAAATAGTTTATATACATGTTCATTATAAAAAAGTAACTACATTGAAACTGGAAATATAACAGTATATTTCGGATATATACGTTTATATTCGTATTTCGGTGTTAGACCAAAAATTGTATTGGAGAATCTCAAATGTAAAAGTCATTAATTCTTTATACACATTGGTATAAATTTTCTTTCGCCTGTTACGTTGAAATAATTCACTACGCTACGAATTTTCAAATTCGTATTTCGAAACAAAGGAAAGAATCGTTCGAAGTTAGCAACTACTGAATATAAATATTCCTCTGATTCACTGTACGTCTCATTGCCAAAGACAAATCACAGAAACCACCTGCTACGTCACCGTGTCGAATTTCCATCAAAAATGTCGATTTTTAACATGTCTGAGTCGTCGATAATTCACCTGAATTAACAATCTTTTGTTCAATAATAAATTTGGTCGTATGCAGATCGGAGAAAACCTGACAGAGATTGCGGAAGGCGCTGATAAGTCGAACGACGAAAGTGAGTGAAGTCAGCGATCCTTCGGCCGATGTTCTAAGCGGTTTTCGTGCGAAATTGCGCAATTATGTAATTTCGTTCTAAGTATATTTATCTCTGTTTTTCTCCTTGGTTTACGCGCGTAGAAAAATAAGGGGAAACGAACCGTCATTCGATACGGAGACAATAATGAGCGCCGTGTGTGACTGCGAAAAATGTACGTGTAACTCTTATTCTCTTCTTCTTCTTCCACTTTTTTGTTTTTTTCGTTTTTCTTTTTTTTACGGTTAGTGATTACGCTCGGTTACATTCTTCATACGACATTAGTACAATTATTTAATTAATCTAGGACAATATTTACTACTCAAATAGATACTTTTATAATAATATTACTCTTTATAGTCTATCAAAATATTCATCACAGTGCTACGGACACAAAAATTGTGTTCAGTTTATACGTGTAAATAATGATTCCTTTTCATCTCATCGAGCAGGAAATGTTGCATAACCCAGCCACTCGTTGATTCACAAAGCTACATTATTATTACATTACGCCAAAGCCTGTCTCTCCCTTTTTCGTTCCCTCCCTTTCTCTCTCACTCTCTCTCTCTCTCGTTTCTTCTTCTTTTTTCTTTTTCTTTTTTTAATAAAATAAACAACCATCTCTCCGATCATCTTACAATTTCTTTCTTTTCCTTCTCTTCTGAAAATATCAACGAATCGATAAATGGCATCTATTTAAATTACACTTTGAACGATTTTCTACATCACATCGCTTAACTCTCTGTTTTTACGTTTTGTACAATAGCCTGAGGATTCCGCTGAAACGTCAACGAGAGACCCGATTCTCGATATTTTCTATGCCCGTATTCTTTTGTCTCTTCTTTGTTTTTTTTTTTTTTTTT